GCTGCTGATGGTGATGACGGTGCCCCGATGATGATAATGTTGATGATCCTGATAATGTTGACGATGATCAGATGATTTGATGATGGTTATGGAGCTAATGATGATGGTGCCCCGATGATGATGAGGATGATGATGATGTTGTTCGTGGTGATGGTGATGATGACGATGGTGTCCCGATGATGATGATGATAATGATGATGATGACGATGTTGGTGTCCCGATGATGATGGTGATGTTGATGATGAGTATGATGATGAGGTGATGATGATGATTTTGATGATGGTCGCCCAATGATTGTGATTATGATGCTGATGTTGATGTTGATGATGGTGTCCCGATGATGTTGATGATGATGATGGTGACGATGATGATGGTGTCCCGATGATGAAGATGTTGATGATGATGGTGATGATGTTGCTAATGATGATGATGATGGTGTCCCGATGGTGATGATGATGTTGATGATGTTGTTCATGATGATGATGATGATGGTGGTGCTCCGATGATGATGGTGTCCCAATGATGATGATATTGATGATGATGGTGCCCCGGTAATGATGATGACGATGCTGATGGTGATGATGTTGATGATGATGGTGATGAGGTGATGATGATGGTGTCCCGATGATGCTGATGATGATGTTGAGGACGTCGATGACGATGATGTTGATGATGATGATGACGTTGATTGTGAGATCGATAGTGATATCGATAATGAAATCGACAGTTCGACCAAATGTGAGATCGATTGTGAGATCGATAGTGAGATCGTTAGTGAGATCGATTGTGCGATCGATAGTCAGATCGATTGTGACTTCGATCGAATGAAATAGATCGAGTGAGATCGATTGTGAGATCGATCGAGTGGGATCGATCGAGCGAGACCGATGGTGAGATCGATAGTGAGATCGATAGTGGGACCGATCGAGTGAGACGTTGGTTCCTCCCCCCGAATCTCCTTATCACCCGAAGGGTGGTCGTATAGGTGTGTATATATATATATAGGTCCCTGAACCCACCATGAACCCTGCTTTCCTCGTGGAAGTTCAAAGAGGAAAACAGGGTCGGTGGGTCGTCGTGCTGGAGTGCGCGCGCGTGTACAAGAGGAAGATGAGAAAGAGTCAAAGAGGTAGAGACACTCGCAAGTCAAACTGTGAGAGAGTAGGAGATGTATGTCAGCTTGGGGAGGGAGCCTGTAGAGTATCGGGATGTGTGTTGAGGACGGGTGGAGTGGAGTAGACGGAAGGTGTGGAGTGGACGGGGGGTGTGGAGTAGAATGGGGTTTTCAAGTTCAGCTTGGGGAGGGAGCCTGTTGAGTATCGGGAGGTGTGTTGGAGACGGGTGGAGTGGAGCAGACGGAAGGTGTGGAGTGGACGGAGGGTGTGGAGTAGCATGGGGTTTCAAGTTCAGCTTGGGGAGGGAGCCTGTTGAGTATCGGGAGGTGTGTTGGAGACGGGTGGAGTGGAGTAGACGGAAGGTGTGGAGTGGACGGAGGGTGTGGAGTAGCATAGATTTTCAAGTTCAACTTGGGGAGGGAGCCTGTTGAGTATCGGAAGGTGTGTTGGAGACGGGTGGAGTGGAGTAGACGGAAGGTGTGGAGTGGACGGAGGGTGTGGAGTAGAATGGGGTTTCAAGTTCTGCTTGGGGAGGGAGCCTGTTGAGTATCGGAAGGTGTGTTGGAGACGGGTGGAGTGGAGTAGACGGAAGGTGTGGAGTGGACGGAGGGTGTGGAGTAGCATGGGATTTTCAAGTTCAGCTTGGGGAGGGAGCCTGTTGAGTATCGGGAGGTGTGTTGGAGACGGGTGGAGTGGAGCAGACGGAAGGTGTGGAGTGGACGGAGGGTGTGGAGTAGAATGGGGTTTTCAAGTTCTGCTTGGGGAGGGAGCCTGTTGAGTATCGGGAGGTGGCGGCGGCGATGACCATGATGATGATGATCATGATAAGGATGATGAGTATCCCAGATGATGATAGTGATGATGATGATTATGAAGTACACAAGATAATGATGAGGTGATGGTGATGACGAGTACACATGATGGTGATGATGGTGATGACGTGGGAACGGCTTGGGGGGGCTTCTGGGGAGGTCCCGCCGGGGCTCTCCGAAAATGCAGGGACACTATGGTAATTCATATAGGTTTGGAGGTATCAAGGGTTCATGGTGGGTTCAGCGGGCTATATATATATATGTATACAAGACTGCAGTGGCGCTTCGCGTCATGCACCTTGGTCCTTGAAAATTTGTATGCAGGCGGAATAGCAGGAAGGTCAAGCCGACAACTTAGCGATAATTCCTTGTTGCCTTTTCTGGCATCGCCGCTATAATCATGTTATTCGTTATCCTGCCTCCATGCATATTTTCCTCCTTTCCGACATGCCCTGCGCATTCCCCCCATCCTTCTCAACTCTTTTTTGCGGAGGCTCGTCCTTGGAGAGCCTCTGGGGGCCTCACAAAAGCTGTTTCAGGCTTTCTTAAGGCCTTCTGGAGGCCTCCTGGGCGTATTCTGGGGGCCTCTGGGGGCTTCCTCGGGCCACCCTGCCTCCAACCGCGGTCTCCCTGAACGACCGGGTCACGATTTGGAATGCTTCGGAGGGTGTCTTGGGGCCATCTTGGGCCGCCATGGGGCTCTCTAAGGGCCATCTTGGACCCGTGTTGTGCCGTTTTGGGGCTCTCTTGGACTGCCTGGAAGCCCTTTCGGATGGTTGTGGGGCGATTTTGGAGCCTCCCAGGCGGCTTCGGACGCCCAGAAGACCGCCGTCTTGGAGCGTCGGGAATCCGAAAAGAGGAGAACCCCAAAATTCACCAAAAACCAACAGAGAATCAATGATTTGTGCCTCTTGGGGCCTTCTTGGGAGTGCTCTTGGAGGCCTCTTTGGGGCCGTCCTGGAGGCCTCTTGGGCCATCTTGAGGTCACGTTGGTCACTCTTGGAGCGCTCTTGTGCTGTCTTGGGGGTCTCTGGGACGTCTTCGATGACCCCCTTATCGCCCTAGGTGTGCTGGAAAGGCTTGGTAAAACGCCCTGCGAGGCCCCGGGGGCGAGGCCCGTCAGGAGGGTCCCAAAGCCCCAGATCCTGGGAGTCCGGTTTTGGGGTTGGGGGGGGTCCCCCCGCCCGGGCTTCTAAACATATAGGAAGAGGAATACACATGCTCTTCCAATGCATGATGGGCCTGTTTTCCACCACAACCACCTCCATAAGTTGGAGGAGGAGGAGGAGGAGGACGAGGAGGAGGAGTAGGAGGAGCAGGAGGAGGAGGAGCAGGAGGAGCAGGAAGTGGAGGAGGAGGAGGGAGGAGGAGGAGGAGGAGGACCCCCTCCCCCTCCAACTTATGGCAGTGGTGGAAAACAGGCCCAGCAATGCATAGATGTCTGCATGCATCGGTCAGACTATAGATGCTCGGGAGCGATGCGCGGCAACGAGGATGCTGTGTTCGGCGAGGCGGGGCCGTGCGCTGCAAGGAAGCCGTGCTCGACAGCGCTCCGGGAGCGGGAGCGGGGGCGCGTAGCATGTAAATCCGCTGGCACCCTGCTGCCAGGGGCTTCACAGGCGCTTACCCGTGGAGTTGGGCAGAGCGAAGCCGTAGAGCGTCAAGGCGGACATGCCGCGAGCAGCAGCACGAAACCGTGGTAGGGGACGGTAGGTGGCGCAGGGCGTACGCCTTGGCGCTACGAAGCACATCGCGCCATGGAGACCCCTAACACTGGCGAAGAGAAAGCTGCCCATGATCCCCTCAGATGAGGATAGGAAAAAAAGTCTTCCTAGGGTGCGACAGACACAAGGACGACCCCATTGTCGAAGGGCAATTAAGTACTGGCACGACAGATGCACCAAACTGGGAAAGCACAAGCCCAAGAGTGGTGCAAGTGGCCGCAACATTCGTCCATGAGTGGATCCCGTGGACCTTCCTGGAAAGAATCCGAGAGCCGTAGTCGGCTGGCCACCTCCAGTGACAACGCAACGACCTTTGTTGAGACCAGAGCCGTGCTCTCTCCTCTGCGCCCCCGAACCCCGGCAACCCTGTATTCAAGCGGGGTCTTAGCGAAATCGAGGGCTCACTCCGAGGGATTGGGCTTGAGGCTCCCTCGGAGAGAGCGAAGAGCCACTCAGTTTTCCTCTTCCTACGCTTCCTCACCTTCCATGCTCCGTCACATGGGCTGTGAGCAGCAAGCGGCCGCCCGGCAGGACCCCAGCAGGAGCCCAGCGGGAGGAACTGAAACCAAGCCCGGCCTCCAAACGACGAAAAACCTCAAAGCCTCAGAGTCAAACGCCCCACCTTCCACCTGCACTTCACATTCCTCCCTCCCCCCTTCCATCCGAAAGCCCCCCACCGAAGGACTCTCTCGCTCCATTTCTGAAAGTCTCTCCCTGTCTCCCACTTCCTCTTCTTGCGTATCTTTTCGGGATGCTCACAAAAATCCTCCCAGAGCCTTCGGACCGGAACAAGCGCCACGTAGTGAAAACCCATCCCAAATATAAGCCAGACTTCCCTATTGCGGGTCGGGAACCCCTGAACCCCAAGAATGTGACCGTCAATCGGAGGCTTATGTTGTTCCCATCCTACTTAAGGACCACATCCCAGAAATAATTTCGAGCACCCCGAAAAGTGTCGAAACAGTGTCGAAACAGTGTCGGACGAGTGTCTCCCATGGCCCGACACGTGAAAACCCTTGAATTTCGGTACTCTTTTGGGCGCTCGAAATTCTTCCTGGTGATCAAGGCTAAAGTAGGTTGGAGCATCATAATCGGAGGCGCACAATTTACTTCCGCTGGCTTCCGCCGGCCCTCCGAAGCCGGCTTCGATGTCCTTCCGCCGCCTTTCCGCGAGCCTCCCGCGGCCTCTTCCGCCGAGGAAGAGGTGACGACTTCTTCTTCGACCCTCGAAGGCGGGGCCCTCTCCGGAACGCTGCACGTCGTTAGTTCTCTTCTGGGCTGTCGTTCCCACTCTGCCCAGTTGGCTCGAGCAGTCCCAAAAGGGGGCCGACGGTGACGCGCCACGAGGCGTGCCGGATATCAGGTACCACGGCCAACCAAGCACGTCTGCGACCTGGCAGTGCATGCCAGGGAGCGGAGGAGGGAGGAAGAAAAGACGAGGAAGAATAATAAGAAGAAGCGATGAATGCAGAGGAGAAGGTAAGAGGCGGTAGGTTGAAGGCTTGATGTAAGAGGCACGTGGGACGGGGAGGACGAGGCAGTGAATGAAAGATAGGAGGTGCAAAAGGGGGGGAGGCATCGGGAGGTGGTGGGAGGATGCGGGAGGTAGGCGGTAAGAGATGAAAGTCAAATTATAGGAGATAGGAGGTTGCGATGTATTAGTAGTAGTAGTAGTAGTAGTAGTAGGTGGTGGTGGTGGTGGTAGTAGTAATAGTAGTAGTCGTCGTCGTAGTCGTAGTCGTAGTCGTAGTAGTCGTAGTAGTCGTAGTAGTCGTAGTAGTCGTAGTAGTCGTAGTAGTCGTCGTAGTCGTCGTAGTCGTAGTCGTAGTCGTAGTCGTAGTCGTACTAGTAGTAGTAGTAGTAGTCGTCGTCGTCGTCGTCGTCGTCGTCGTCGTCGTCGTCGTCGTCGTCGTCGTCGTCGTCGTCGTCGTCGTCGTCGTCGTCGTCGTCGTCGTCGTCGTCGTAGTAGTAGTAGTAGTATAGTAGTAGTAGTAGTAGTAGTAGTAGTAGTAGTAGTAGTAGTAGTAGTCGTCGTAGTCGTCGTAGTCGTAGTCGTAGTAGCAGTAGTAGTAGTAGTAGTAGTAGTAGTAGTAGTAGTAGTAGTAGTAGTAGTAGTAGTAGTAGTAGTAGTAGTAGTAGTAGTAGTAGTAGTAGTAGTAGAAGTAGTAGTAGTAGTAGCAGTAGTAGTAGTAGTAGTAGTAGTAGTAGCAGTAGTAGTAGTAGTAGTAGTAGCAGTAGTAGTAGTAGTAGTACTAGTAGTCGTAGTAGTAGTAGTAGAAGTAGAAGTAGAAGTAGTAGTGGGAGGCAGGACGTTGGAGTCTGGAGGTGTAGAATCGAAGTTGGAACGTAGGAGGTTGGAGGGCGTAGAAGTAGGTGGGCGGGATGTAGAATTCAGGCCGCAGGAAGCCTGAGGCATGACGAATTACAGAGAGGAAGAAGGGGGCCGGAGACTGTTGAGAAAGAGGCGGGAAGCAGGCAGTCAAAATAATAATGTACCATGTAACATGTGGTACGTGAGTAGCAAGAGGTACGGAAGGCGAAAGAGGCAGGTCGGAAGTAGATGTGTGCTGGTGGGAATATGATTAGGTCGAGCGTGTCCTCCTACTGGCGGATTTTGGACGAAAAATTAATCATTGCCAAACGAATCTCAAAGATCGTCAAAATAATAAACAAAAAATCGTCCCCTGACGATTTTTGTTACTACTTTTACAAGCTTCCCCTGTAGAGGGACACGACCGACTTAAAAACAGGGCCACGGGAGACACTCACCGAAGGAAGGGAGGCAGCGCGGCGGCGGTAGGAAGTGTAGACCGTCGCAGCAAGGACCTGGAAGGCGGGAGGCACATGGTGTACCGCCTGGGAGTCCGCAGGCCAGAGGGAGACAGCTGGACGCCGGATGTTGGACCCTGAATGTGGCAGGCGGGGAGCATGAGGCAACATATGGCGAATTTCGGAAACCCTGAACCCAAAAATGTGTTCATCTCTTGGGGGCGCATGCTTTACTTCCGCCGCCTTCCGCCGAGCTTCCGCCGGCTTCCGCCGGCGGAGGCGGCCTCGTTTTACTTCCGCCGACCTTCCGCCGCTCTTCTGCCGCGGAAGAGATGCCAAGTCTTTCGATCCTTGAAGGCGAAGCCATGTTTGGAACGCCCCATATCATATGGGAGGTTGGAAATGCACGGTGCCCAGGTCGGCAGGGTGAACGAGGTGAACCGCAGGAAGCATTCTCCTGTACAGACTGTACAGCGAGAGAGCGAGAGAGGCACGCGCGTTCCTTGGGTGGCCTCGGCTGGCGCGCCCTGGCCCGTGGCGTCGACCGTGATTCTAGAGGCCCCCTAGATGGTGTGGGAGCAGATGGGGTCGGAGGATCGCGCCGCATCGCTTATACATCGGCGATGTATCGGCGATGCACTACTGGCGATGCATCGCCGACGTGGGCGATGCATCGGCGACATCGACGTGAAGCAAATCGGGCTCCACATCGAGCCGCATCGCCGACTGCATTGGCGATGCGTCGCGATCCTCCAACACCATCTGCTGCGACCCCATCTAGGAGGACTAGAGATTCGTGGCCGGAGGTTGGACGTAGGCGGAAGGACGCAATGGCTCACTGCACCGACCTGGCAGACGTGCTGCAGCAAATTTTTGCGTGGATTCTGTCAATACAAAACCACGAAACAGCGAGCGAAAAACGAAGTGTAAATATCGCGTGGGTGTTTTTGGGTCTTCATTCCTGGCCAAAACAAATCCGCACGAAATTCACCTCGAATTCCGAAAAATTCTCCAAGACATTCTGGGCCCATCCCAATGTTTTCCGAGCGAAATCCGCTCTGCTCCGCGCCGATTTCTCGGATCCGCGCCTGACCCCCCAACCTGGCGCGCGGAGCGCGCCAGGGGCGGCGCCGGAGGCGCCGCCCGGGGGGCCCAGCGCGGATCCAAGAAAACCGCGCGGAGCGCCAAAAGTTTATGTTTACACGTCGTTCATTTCTAATCGTGCTCATTTCTAATCGTGCTCGTTTCTAATTGCTCCTGGCCCCCTAGTGGCCAGGAAGAGGCCCAGGATAGAACAATCAGAAGTGAAAGGACCTTGGCCCCCTACAAGTCAAAGAACTCTCGAAGAATTAGAGCAGTGGGCCATGGACCTGGCCTGGGGCCCGGCGGGGCGCCCGGCGTCAGGGCCGTGCCCTCTGCGGGCCGTGGGCCCTCTCCCACACCCGACGGGCACGCAGGCTGGCACGGCACGCCGGGCAAGGGTCGCGACGACGGCGACGCCGACGCCGACGACGACGACGAGGGCGACGACGGCGACGAGGGCGACGAGGACGACGGCGACGGCGACGATGACGACGGCGACGACGACGGCGACGACGACGACGGCGACGGCGGCAGCGGAGGCAACGCCAGCTGGTGGTAAAAGCCGCACCAGGCTGGTGCTAGAGTTCGCTTGCTAGCGTTGGGCGGAGGTCGGGCAGCTCTCTCCCTCTCTCTCTCTCCCTCTCCCTGTATCTCTTCCTCTCTCTCCCTCTTGCTAGCGTTGCGCGGAGGTGGGGCCGCTCTCTCTCTCTCTCTCTCTCTCTCTTCCTCTCTCTCTCTCATTCTTTCCGCTGATAGACTCGAGCAGCTGACTGTGCCATGAAGCCTGCAACGCCTCATATCGCGATCCTGAATCCAAGATCGGCCCAACCAAGGTTGGCGAAAGCTTCTTGCCGGCTCCCAAGACCCTTGTGGATCGATCCGTCTCGGAAAGAAACACGGACGGAGGCGGAGTCGGGAGCTGCTGCCGCGGTTGTCTCGCGACGCTGTGACATATTCCGCGACGTCGGATCTCGGATACCTCGCGGCGGAGAACACGTCCCGTGCCAGAAATACACAAGAACATGTTTGCCTTAGGTCGGGCGTGTCCCCCTACGGGCGGATACAGGGCGACAAAATAGGAAATACCCCAAAAATTATCCTGGCGAAGGACCCAACCATATGCAATTGTGAATAACGCTTTGTGGGTGCCGCTTTCGGTGGGGCTCCTTATGGGGCCACGAAAGGCGTGCCACGAAACGCTGTCCTGGGCGTACGGGACGCATGAGGGCGGTAGCACTGGGGCCTTCGGTGGAGCTCCCTATGGGGCCACGAAACGTGTGAGGGGTGTGCCGAAATTGGTGCGGCGCATCCATGCAAACGCAGCCACTGGGGCCTTCGGTGGAGCTCCCTATGGGGCCACGAAACGTGTGAGGGGTGTGCCGAAATGGGTGCGGCGCCGCCATGCCAACGCAGCCACTGGGGCCTTCGGTGGAGCTCCCTATGGGGCCACGAAACGTGTGAGGGGTGTGCCGAAATGCATGCGAACGCAGCCACTGGGGCCTTCGGTGGAGCTCCCTATGGGGCCACGAAACGTGTGAGGGGTGTGCCAACCATGGCAGCCATGGAGCTCCCTATGGGCCACGAAACGTGTGAGGGGTGTGCCGAAATGGGTGCGGCGCCGCCATGCGAACGCAGCCACTGGGGCCTTCGGTGGAGCTCCCTATGGGGCCACGAAACGTGTGAGGGGTGTGCCGAAATGGGTGCGGCGGGCGCATGCGAACGCAGCCACTGGGGCCTTCGGTGGAGCTCCCTATGGGGCCACGAAACGTGTGAGGGGTGTGCCGAAATGGGTGCGGCGCCGCCATGCGAACGCAGCCACTGGGGCCTTCGGTGGAGCTCCCTATGGGGCCACGAAACGTGTGAGGGGTGTGCCGAAATGGGTGCGGCGCCGCCATGCCACGCAGCCACTGGGGCCTGGTCGCCGCCATAGCTCCCTATGGGGCCACGAAACGTGTGAGGGGTGTGCCGAATTGGCATGCCAACGCAGCCACTGGGGCCGTCGGTGGAGCTCCCTATGGGGCCACGAGACGTGTGAGGGGTGTGCCAAAATGGGTGCGGCGCCGCCATGCGAACGCAGCCACTGGGGCCTTCTGTGGAGCTCCCTATGGGGCCACGAAACGTGTGAGGGGTGTGCCGAAATGGGTGCGGTGACGAGGGAGGGGGCAGCGGGAGGAAGAAAGGAAGGAGTGAACGCGGGGCGCTGTCTCTTCAAAACGAGGACCCAACACCACAGGATGGTTGGGAAATAATCAAAGATAGTCCAAAACAGTCGACAAATCGTCCCCTGACTATTCTGGGACTATTATTCAATTTCCCTCCAATAGAGGGACACGCCCGACTTAATGTATGCCGCTTCGGTGTGGAGTCACACCGCGTTCAGGCCAAAGCGGGCCGCGGAGTGGCACATCGTGTGTGCCCGTGCGGCGGGAAGAGTAGCCGACGCCTACGCCTACGCCCACGCCTACGCCCCCAGGGACACCTACGCCCACGTCTGCACCAACGCGCACGGCTGCAGTGAGCATCGTTGGCCCGATCCTTCTCCCCACTGGCGTGGCCATGGCCCCACTGGCCGACTTGCCCTCCTGGGTGGGGACCTGATATATGATCCCGGGTCAATGTTCACAGACCCTTCCCCCCGGATGGGATAGGTCCCAGGGTTCCACAGCCCCCCCCCCAGATGGGATGGGAGGGGACGCCGACGCCGACTCCGACGCCGACGCCAACGCCGACGCCGACGACGACGACGACGACGACGTAGACGCCGACGCCAATGACGGCGACGACGACGACGACGACGACGACGCCAACGCCGACGGACGACGCCGACGCCGACGCCAACGCCGACGCCGACACCGACGCCGACGCCGACGACGAAGACGACGACGACGACGCCGCAAACGCCTCCGCCGACGACGACGACGACGACGACGACGAGGGACGAGGGACGACGACGCCGACGCCGACGCCGACGACGACGATGAAGAAGATGACGACCACCACCACCACCACGAACCATCCCATGCACACACAAGGGGAGGGCGGCGGTGCACCAGCACCCTCCACCACGCCCACAGGGCCACGACCAGCGGGGGGAGGACGATCCCACTCGCGGGGCCTTGGCGAGGCTCCCGGGCGTGCCCATCCAGCGGGGGGGGAGGGCTCTATACCATCCATATGCACTGGAGGGGGGATGGGGAGGGGGGGCAACCCTGGATCATATACGCCTGCTCCTGCGGATTTCAGAGGGCATACTCCCACCTGAGAGGGCGGGCTGGTGGGGCTAAGGTACCATGGCCCAGCAGGGATGGGGATAGGTTACACTGGAGGCCAGTCCACAAGAAACCTTCCAGAAAAAACCCAGCCCAGAGACCCCAGGACGTCAATTGACTTTTGGTGCGAGATCGTCGCGATTCCCAAAGAAAAACCATCGAAACCCAAGAAACCCAGGGCACCCTGGAGGCAAGCACGGTGTTTCTTGGCATGGGCCTCCACTTGAGCCGATGCCGACCGGAGGGACTCGCGCCAGCGCCCGCGCCCACGCGCCACCAGCGCGCCTTCCCCCACGCCCACCCCTGCGCACACGCCGAGGTGCCCCCAGATCCGCGGCAGCTGGGCGGCTTCAGCCCAAGACGTCCGCCGTCCCCAGACCCCCGAATCATGGAAAAACCACACGCCGCGAGGCTTTTCGCTACTTTCGGCCTCTGGAGGCCCTTGCCGGCCCTCGGGACCGCCAAAAACGATACAGGAGATGAGAATCTGGTCCCAGGGAACGGGTCGAGACCCCTGGGGGTCGACGTCACGAAACCTGACATTGCCACGAACCCCGACCTTGGAGGACAAGTGGGCGTGACTTGCGAGGAAGGGAAAAACAAAGAAGAGAATGCCTACGTATAGGGCGCATAATGCTGATTCCCGTGTTGTCCGCTTGACGCTGTGCCGCATTCAGGCGCATTATGTTGGTTCCCGTGCTGTCCAAAAAATCATGACGTCGGGGGTCTGGGTCCAGATCTTCCCCGGCACGGAGCGGAAGAGCTCCACTGGCACAGGCGAGCTTCGGCCACGAGGAGCTCCCCCGATCTAGTTCAGAGGAGCGGCCCAAAAACCGAAGCCCCTCTGGAGCGCAGAAGAGGTCCTGACTTCACAGCGTCTTGGCCGGGCCACGAAGAGCTCCCCCGATCTTGATCCGAGGAGCGGCCAAAAAACCGAAGCCCCTCCTGAGCGCAGAGAGGTCCTGATTTCAGCGCCTTGTTGGCGGCGCGCAGAGAGGGGTAGGGGGAGGGGGAAGGCTTCTTAGAAGGAGGCCGCTTCTTAGAGGGCGCCAGCCTTACATCTACAGACAAGGCCCGCGCCTTCTACGAAGCAGGGGTGTTTATAAGAAGCATTCCCCCCTCCCCCCACCCCCCTCTTCGCGTGGCCGATCTTGTTCCCCGATCTAGATCTCAGGAGCGGCCAAAAAAAACAAAGTGCCTCCTGAGCGCAGAGAGGTCCCGACTTCAGCGTTTTGGCTAGGCCACGAAGAGTGCCCGATCCTCCTCCTCCCCCTTCTCCTCCCCCCCTCCTCCTCCTCCTCCTCCTCCTCCTCCTCCTCCTCCCCCTCCTCCTCCTCCCCCTCCTCCTCCTCCTCCTCCTCCTCCTCCTCCTCCTCCTCCTCCTCCTCCTCCTCCTCCTCCTCCTCCTCCTCCTCCTCCCCCTCCTACTCCTCCTCGTCCTTCTTCTCCTACTCATGTTCCTGCTACTGCTCTACTCCTACTCCTGCTCATGCTCCTGCTCCTCCTCCTCCTGCTCCTGCTCCTCCTCCTCCTCCTCCTCCTCCTCCTCCTCCTCCTCCTGAGCGCAGAGGAGGTCCCGATTTCAGCGTCTTGGCTGTGCAGGATCGACCCGGTCATGCCAGGGCCGGCTTTGCCCTCTGGGCCCTTTGCTTCCCGACCCCGGGGCCCCGCGAGGGCTGCGGCAGGCCGAGCGCGACACAGAACTCCATCTTAACTTTGGCCAAGACGTTGGATGTCGGCCTCGTCGGCCTCGCCGTAGTCGTCGTCGTCGTCGTCGTCGTCGTCGTCGTCGTCGTCGTCGTCGTCGTCGTCGTCGTCGTCGTCGTCGTCGTCGTCGTCGTCGTCCATGCCTGGAAACTCCCTCCCCGGACCTCCCGCATGGGGTGCTTCCCGCAGCTCGGATCATCTCGGGGCGAGCCCGGCCGTGGCTGCGCGCGGAGGCCGCGCGAGGGCCCCAAGGAGCGCTCGGAGGACCTGGATCCTCGACCCTCGATAGGCGAAGAAGACAAAACGCCAGAAACATAAACTTTACAGTATGGCGCTCCGCGCTGGATTTTTTTGACCTGCGCTGGACCCCCCCTCCACCGGGGCGGCGCCGGAGGCGCCGCTGGGGGGGCTCAGCGCGGAGCGCCAAAAGTTTGTCCACAGCTGAAAATATGATCAAGAAAATCATGACTTATGAAACCTGGGCCAGCTTTCCGGAAATTTCTTAAGACAAACCTGAGGAGCGAACGCGCTCAAGAAACTGAGCCAGCTTTCCGGCAAGTTGGCTAAGAAACGCTGGCCCAGCTTGTCGAGAGAAGGCTTGTTAGTCAAACGCTCGACTGTCTGGCGTTTTTTCCTCTTCGACTCGAGGCTCGACCCTCGAAGCTCGAGGCCGCGGCGGGCCATGCCCCCCCGCGAGGGCTGCGGCAGGCCGGAGAGCGACGCAAAACGCCGTCTTGACCTTGGCCAAGACGTCGGATGTCGGCCTCGTCGTCGGCCTCGTCGTCGTCGTCGTCGCCGTCGCCGTCGTCGTCGACGTCGGCGGCGGCGGCGGCGGCGGGCTGCCCCCCCGCGGGCGGCGGCGCCCCGCTCGCGGCGGGGGCCCACGGCGGCAGCGGGCGCGGGGCGCGGGGGGCGCGGTGCGCGAGGCAAGCACGGGGGCGGCGGAGGACGTCGCGGGTGATGTTCGACCAGTCGTCGAGGGTGAGGAACTGGAAGAGCGTCGCCTTACCCCCCCCCCCCCAGAAGGACAGGACAGGACGGGACATCCGCATGTGGGGGGTCAGCGTCGAAACGCCCGCAAGGGAGCTGTGAGGCACGACTTGCAAAATCCCCTGCGATCAAAATTTGCCGCAAACCCAGACTTCTCATGGGGCCGGCAGGGGGCGTACCCCGATGATCGAAGGGGCGAGCTCCGAGGAGGCCCTGTAAGAGAGGCTCGCTACCTTGTGAGAGTGCGAGTCCCGACGGGTCAGTGCGGGGAGAGCGGCCCCCCAGAGGGAGGAGGAGGAGGAGGTGGAGGAGGATGAGGAGAAGAAGAAGAAGAAGACGGGGGTGAGGAACTGGAAGAGGGTCGCCTGAAACCCCTCCTCTTCTTCTCCTCCTCCTCCTCCTCCTCCTGCTCTTGCTAATGCTCCTGCTCCTGCTCCTGGTACTCCTCCTCTTCCTCCTCCTCCTCCTCTTCCCCCCCCTGCTCCTGCTCCTGCTCCTGCTCCTGCTCCTCCTGCTCCTGCTCCTCCTGCTCCTCCTGCTCCTCCTCCTCCTCCTCCTCCTTCTCCTCCTCCTCCTCCTGCTCCTCCTCCTCCTCCTCCTCCTCCTCCTCCTCCTCCTCCTCCTCTCGGTTACCCGTTTTCCCGCGTGTCGGGGCTGCGGCTTCGATGCGCGCCGCTTCTGGAGCGCGCCCCTGGGCCCAGCCCCGACACGCGGGAGGACGGGAAACCGAGACTCCCGCCGCTCCGCCCAGGTTGCCACCAGGTTGCCACCAGGTTGCAACCTGGCGTACATCACCTCCGTCCACGCTGGAACGCTGCCGTCCCAGCAGGCGCAGCCGCGACGGCCTTCTTCGTGCTGAAGGCTCGTGCAGCAGTCGAGTGCCCAGGGAGCAAGCAATTCCCAAAGGCCTGGAGATTCTGCGCCCCTGCCCTGCTGAACTGGTGCCGACAGGGTCCTCGCAGGGCGCTGAGCCGGGGGGTGGCGACCGCGCCACAGCTCGCGCAGCACCAGTGGCGGCACGACTCGCGGACAAACTAGGCGTGAGAGGGATGAGACGTGAAACGTCCAAGCTCGACAAGCTCACGACACCCTATGTCGCCCGGCCACACGGGCTGCGAGCGCTCTGGCCCGCGGCACGTCGATCCAAGCCAGGCGAGGGCGCGATGGCGGGGCAGCAGCCCGCACGCGGCGCCGCAGCAGGTGCACTCCATCCTGGTCGGACCGACGTGCACGCAATGGGCGGAGGCCACCTGTGCGCGGTCGAAGCGGACCGACCAGGCCGTCCGAGTCGAGGAGGAGGAGGAGGAGGACCCCACCCCCAAGCGGTCACGCAGGAGGCCATGACGGTCCCCCACTGGGCCTCGGCGTTGTCCCGCGCTTCGCCCTCCTTCGCCGCGGCGGCGCACCCAAGAACTTCTCTGTCCCCAGCTTCCTCCTCCGCTCCTTGTCCTGCTGAGTAACTCCTCCCTGTCGCACCCCGAGGCCAGTCGGAAGGGCGGGCCGTCCGGGCGTTTCGCCTGAGACTTCATCGGATGGAAGGCGGGTGGTCTTCAAAATGTGACTTTCGCCTTGCGCCGTGCACATTCGTTTTAAACATTTGTGGCATGTTCGCAGATTGAGGGCGGGTCGTCTTCAAAATGCGGCTCTCGCCTTAGCGCCGCGCACATTCGTTTTAAACACTTGCAGGAGTTTCACGGATTGAGGTCAGGTAGTTTCCAAGATGTGCCTCTCGCCTTAGCGCCGCGCACATTCGTATTAGAAACTTGCAAGAGCTTCACGGATTGAGGGAGGGTTCCTTCAAAATGGGGCTCTCGTCTTAGAGCCGTGCACATTAGCTTCAACAGTAATCAAGAGCTGCACTGATTCTCATGGCTGGCGTACCAGACATGGCGTTTTGGAACAATTCAGGATTGTCAGAATGCAACAGTTACGTTGATCCGCGGCGTTGCAGTCCCAGAAATGGTGTTAAGGCACGATTCAGGATCGTCAAAACGCAACAATCAGGCTGACTCGTGGTTTTGATGTCCTGAGTATGATGTTCTTGCTTGCTTCAAGATTCTCACACGGTTGTACACTGGTGTTCCTCCCTCTCCTCATCATCATCGCCATCAGCCGCAGCATCATCAGCATCATCACCACCATCCTCCTCGAGGTCACCATCACCATCCTCATCATCATCAGCACCATCAGCATCATCATCACCATCACCATCATCATCACCATCAGCATGATCATCATGATCAGCATCATCATCGTCATCAGCATCATCATCAGTCATATCCTCCTCATCCTCCTCATCATCGTTAACATCATCATCATCACCATAACCGTCCTCATCATCATTTTCATCTGCATCATCATCATCATCAGCATCATCCTCATCATCATCATCGTCATCAGCATCGTCGTCAGCCTCATCCTTATCATCATCCACATCATCATCGTCATCATCATCCTCATCATCAACAGCATCCCCACCATCACCGGCAACATCATCATCATCACCATCATCATTATCGTTACCATCCTCATCATAATCACCATCATACTGATCATCATAATCGTTCGTTCACCCACCTCATCCTTCTGCTCCTCCTCCTCGTCCTCATCATCATCATCATAAGCATCCTCATCATCGTCTTCATACTTGTCATTATCAGCATCAGCATCAGCATCATTAGCATCGACGGCATCAGCATCATCAGCATCATCAGCATCATCATCAGTCTCATTCTGCTCATCGTCATCACCATCAGCATCCTCATCACCATCATCATCAGCATCACCACCATCATCATCACCAGCATCAGCATCATCATCAGTCTCATCCTCCTCATCCTCCTCCCCATCGTCATCATCAAACTCAATATGATCATCATACCCATCATAACCAGCATCAGCATCATCTGCAGCATCATCACTATCATCCTCATCATCATCTTAAGAATCGGCCGCATCCTCCTCGGCATCCTCCCCATCATCGCCATCATCAGCATCATCCTCACCATCAGCATCAGAATCCTCACCATCATCGTCATCATCAACATCATCATCCTCATCAGCATCATCAGTTTCATCAGCATCATCATAATCATCAGCATCATCATCAGCATTAGCGTCATCATCGTCACCAGCAGCATCATCAGTCTCATCCTCCTCATCCTCCTCATCATCATTAACATCATCCTCATCATCCTCGTCATCATCAGCATCCTCACAATCATCATCATCGGAAGCATCATCACCAGCACCATCCTCATCATCATCGTCAGTCTCATCCTTCTCATCATCGTCATCATCAGCATCATCCTCATCAGCAGCAGCATCCTCACCATCATCGACAACATCAGGCTCATCACCATCATTATCATCATCGCCACCATCCCCATCATCATCATACCCATCATCATCATCATCATCATCATCATCATCATCATCATCATCATCATCATCATCATCATCATGATCATCATCATTAGTCTCGTCCGCCGCATCCTCCTCCTCATCATCATAAACATCCTCTTCATCATCATCCTCATCACCGTCATCATCAGCATCATCACCATCACCATCATCATCAGCATCAGCATCATCATCATCACCAGTCTCATCCCACTCATCCTCCTCCACATCGCCATCAGCATACTCAATATCATCATCAGAATCATCATCATCATCATCATCAGCACAATCACCATCATCCTCATCATCCGAATCAAAATCGGTCCCATCCTCCCCAGCATCCCCCCCCAATCACCGTCATCATCAGCATCATCCACACCATCATCATCATCAGAATCCTCACCATCATCGTCTGAATCATCACCAACATCATCATCATCAACGTTCTCATCTTCATCAGCAGCATCATAATCATCACCATCAGCATCATCACCATCATCAGCATCTTCATCATCGTCATCAGCATCAGCATCACTCTCATCCTCCTCATCAGCCTCCTCACCATCGTCAGCATCATCACCAACATCATCGTCATCCTCATCACCAGCAGCATCCTTGCCATTATCGTCATCGTCAGCATCATCATCATCAGGTCCGCCAGAATCATCATCATCATCCTCATCATCATCAACATCCAACATCGGCATCAGAACCACCATCAGCAACATCATCATCATCATCATCATCATCAACACCGGCGTCAGCATCATAATCAGCCGCCTCATCCTCATCATCGTCATCAACGCCATCATCATCACCATCCTCCTCATTTATCGTCATCACCAGCATCCTCGTCATCATCCTCATCATCATCGGCATCAGCATCATCGCCAACAGCATCACCATCCGAATCATCCGTCTCCTCCTCCTCCTCAGCGTCATCATCACCATTAGTCTCATCATCAGAATCAGCATAATCATCATCATCACCAGTACCAACATCATCATCAGCATCACAACCATCGTCATCAGCATCAGCAGTCTCACTCTCCTCATCATGCTCCTGGTAACCGTCGTCATCATCACCCTGATCATCATCATCAGCATCCTCAGCATCATCGTCATCATCACCCTCATCAACAGCATCAGCATCACCATCACAATCACCATCAGCAGCATAATAATCCATTACCATCATCAGCATCACCAGCATCATCAGCATCATCACCGTCATCAGCATTATGATCAATCTCATCCTCCGCATCATCCTCCTCATCATCGTCAACATCATCATCATCCTCATCATCATAAGCATACCCACGATCCTCCTCATCAACATCACCAGCTTCATCCTCATCATCACCATCAGCACCATCATCAGCATCATCATCCTTATCATCACAATGATATTCATCAGCATCACAATGAGTCTCATCCTCCCCATCAGCCTTCCCACCACCATCAGCATAATCATCAACATGATCATCGACATCTCCACCATCATCGTCAACATCACCATCCTCATCCTCACCATCGACATCATCATCATCAACATCATCAGCATCATCATGATCGCCGTCATCAGCATCATCATCAGCCCCATCCGACTCCGTATCCCCCTCATCCTCCTCAACATCATCATCAGCCTCATCATCAGCATCGGCCTAATCATCATCATCACCGACATCAGCATCATCATCAGCATCACAGTCATCTTCATCAGCATCATCCTCACCATCGTCATTAGTATCATCATCAGTCTCATCCCCCTCATGTTCGTCATCATCATCCTCATCCTCCTCATCATCATCACCATACTCACCATCATCGTCAGCATGACCAGCATCATCAGCGTCATCATCAGCATCAGCATCATCATCATAATAAGCATCATCATCCTCATCAGCATCATCATCAGCATCATCATCGTCATGAGCATCATCATCAGTCTCATCCTCCTCATCATCGCCATCAGCATCCTCATCCTCCTCCCCATCATCATCGACATCCGCACCATCACCCTCATCATCATCATTCGCTTCATCCTCATCACCCTCCTCATCGCCATCAGCATCATCATCAATCGAATCCGCCTCATCCTCCTCATCATGTTCCACACCATCATCAGCACCATCATCAGCATCATCATCATCTTCACCATCATCATCGTCAGCATCCGCACCATCCTCGTCATCATCGGCATCCTCATCATCATCCTCATCATCGTCATCAGCAGCATCATGATCACCCTCATCAACATCAGCATCGTCATCAGAAACAACATCATCATCGTCATCAGCATCATCATCAGTCTCATCCTCCTCATCATCCTCCTCCTCATCATAATCAGCATCCTCACCATCATCCGCATCATCATCATCACCATCATCATCAATCCATCCTCATCATCCGTATCATCATCATCGGCATCATCACATTCAGCAGCATCTTCATTGTCCTCAACATCAGCAGCGCTGTCATCAACATCAGCATCATCATGATGGTCAGCATCATCACTACCATCGTCAGCAGCATCATCACGAGTTTCATCCAACTCACCATCATCATCATCATCATCATCATCGTCATCATCATGACCATCATCTCACACTCACCGTCATGCTCATCATCATCCACATCGTCATCATCAACATCCTCACCGTCATTACCGACATCGTCGTCAACATTAACATCATCATCAACATCATCATCACCCTCCTCATCGTCATCCTCATCATCCTCATCATCACCATCACCAGCTTCATTAGCATCATATGTAATCATCATCATCAGCAACAGCATCACCATCACCATCACCCCCATCATCATCATCATCATCATCATCATCATCATCATCATCATCATCGTCATCAGCATCAACATCAGCCTAAACCTCCTCATCATCATTCTCATCAGCGTCATCATAAACATCCTTATGATCATCATCACCGTCCTAACCGTCATCGTCATCCTCATCACCCTCAT